CCATCTCAGAGCAAGCTGGCAGCAGCAGCCATCTGCTCGATCCCTAATTTACCTCTTCCATACCTTACCTCATCTACCTTGCTCTCCTTCTCTCTTCCCCTTCTTCTTGCCGTCCACCACTATAATTTGTTTCAGTTTTTATTTTGGCGATGTCTTTTTTGTCGTTGGAGGCGCCGCTTCGATCCCTAATTGGAGGCGCCGCTTCCTCACCACGTCTCCTGCTTGCTCCCACCCCCATTGGGCGTCTTCACAGCAGCCTGGCTGCCAACGGTTCCTTGTTCGGCCGCACCATCGTCGGCACCTCGTGGCTTCCTCTCCGCGTTCTCTTGGTGGCCCGGCTGCTGGCTGCCGGGCCACGCCGGCGCCGTGCAAATTCCTCGCCATCCCACGTGGCCGGATGGGAGGTCGAGCTCCTGCACCCCGGGGGAGTATTCACCATATCAGCATGCCGGGCATGGAGGGAAGATTCAAATCCATGACAAGCGAGCTGGGCTGAAGCTGCACCTTGTACCTCGTCGTGGGCCCGGCCGGAACTCTGCGGCTGCACTGCAAAGACGTTGTGGACTTTGTCGGCGGTGCGGTGGACTCGACTGCAGTGGGCCCCTTCTCCCTCCTGGCTCCAGCCCATCGCCCACCCCCTTTGTCTTCTCAATACAACGATCCCTCATTATTTTATCAGCCACCCAAGCTTTGTGTCACCCCCCAGCTATGACCAGGCCTATCGAAACCCCTACTTATCCATCCATCTTTTTTTACTGTCATCAAAAGTACACCACCACTTTACAATAACCCAATTCTTAATTTCATTCATCATGCTGTATACAATTATTTAATTGTTTTAAAACATCTTAGTAAATATGCTAAAAAAGGCTCATTAAGATCAGATAAGAACCGTGATTGGACCAGCCAAACATCCCCCGACAATGTCGATGGAGAGTCCCTTGCATCTGTGGAGTATTTCCCTCTGACAAAACTCCTTATTTTATCCATCCTGCTGTATGTGAGCGTATGCTGGCGTTATTGTTACATGCATTGATGAATCGTGGGTTAAGTTGGTCTACTTTTTGAGCAGGAGATGTACTGTAAGGAAGAAGTGATAGATGTGTCCAGGTACATTAGCATCAGCTGTGCCGCTTACATTAACTACAAATAGGCGTTTCCTGGTTCTATCGTAGTAATGAATCCTCAAGATAACGTGTTACTGATCATACATTTTGCAGTGCTAAGGACAATGCTGATGATTATGGACACGGATTGAATGATATAATTTGGAAAATGATGAAACTGATTGTCTCACGTTTTTTAATCCAAGTCCACACCTTAGAGACAAGTTGCACAACCAAATCACTCGAATTCCTGTGACTTAGTCGCCTGCAGCTGCTTTGGCAAAATATGTGCGAGTCGTTGCACAACAAAAGACGTCTCAGTCACTAAATTGTCTGCCCCCTTTTCTGGTTACCACGACTCCTCACCAGCAACTGGATTGTAACTGTTTATCACAATTCAGTTCTGTGCAGCACACGATGATGCGATACGTTGCTATTATTCGCAAAGGAGATCAATGCTTGAAAGTAGTCTCGTTACACTGTGAGCAACCTGTTGCAGAGACGTCCACGTAGAAGCGATTCAGTTGCATATGTGGGGGCTACCGTCCCCCGCCATCACTGAATTGTCGGGGCCGCTGCCCACCGACTCCCCCGTTCCACTCACACCGCTACCCCCCGGCTGCTCTGTCAGGTCCAGACTACCGACCCCTAACGTCTCGCCCCCCTGTACCTCTGCCTGGGATGTCGACCGCGTTTGCATAGTTTAATTAGCGGCTCGTACACTTTGCGCTTGCGATGCGTTACACCAGGGGTCGGGAACCTATGGCTCGCGAGCCAGATGTGGCTCTTTTGATGATTGCATATGGCTCGCAGATAAAACAAAATATTCTCACTTGTTTTAATCCATCCATCGATTTTTTACTGCGCATGTCCTGTTCAGGGCTGCAGGAGCAATTGTCCATTATTTTAATTGGATGATACTGGCCTACGTTTGCCGTTGCTGGGTAAAACAGGTAAACGCCCCCTTTTGAATCAGTCTGAGACTGCGTCTGCTCGGTCATTAGCTCAAAGCTAACCCTTCGACGAAGAAGATGGCGAAAAGAAAAAAAGACGACGAGTATCGTACATTTCAGGACGAATGGACCGAAGAATTCGCCTTTGTGGAGAGAGCGGGTTCTGCGGTGTGTCTAATTTGCAATGACAAAATTACATCGTTGAAACGGTCGAATGTAAAGCGGCACTTCGACACGCGCCACGCTACCTTTGCATCAAAATACCCTGCGGGAGACAGCAGAAAGAAAGCGTGCCAAGAGCTTCTGAGCAGGGTGCAAGCTAGCCAGCAGCAACTCCGCGTATGGACCCGGCAAGGTGACTATAATTCGGCTAGCTTTGCTGGTTCTTTAGCAATAGTGAGGAACGGAAAACCATTCACAGATGGCGAGTATGCTAAAACGTTCATGCTGGATGTAGCCAATGAACTTTTTGATGATCTTCCGAACAAAAACAAGATAATCAAACGGATACAAGACATGCCTCTGTCGGCAAGAACTGTTCATGATCGTACCATCGTGATGGCAAACAAAGTGGAGGAAACGCAAGTGAAGGACATAAATGCAGCGCCGTTCTTTTCTCTGGCTTTGGATGAGTCAACAGACGTGAGCCATTTGTCGCAGTTCAGCGTGATTGCAAGATATGCTGTTGGTGACACACTGCGCGAAGAAAGTCTTGCTGTTCTGCCATTAAAAGGGTCCACAAGAGGTGAGGATTTATTCAAGTCTTTCATGGAGTTTGCTCAAGAAAAAAGTCTACCTATGGATAAACTTCTCTCAGTGTGTACTGATGGTGCTCCGTGTATGGTGGGGAAAAACAAAGGATTTGTGGCGCTTCTCCGTGAACATGAAAATAGACCCATCCTAAGTTTCCATTGCATTATACACCAGGAGGCACTTTGTGCTCAGATGTGTGACAGGCAGTTTGGCGAAGTGATGTCGCTGGTCATTCGTGTGATCAACTTTATTGTTGCCCGAGCCTTAAATGATCGCCAGTTTAAAACACTGCTGGATGAAGTTGTAAATAACTATCCTGGTCTGCCTTGGCACAGCAATGTGCATTGGTTGTCAAGAGGGAAGGTGCTTAGCCGTTTTGCGGCTTGCCTGAACGAAATCCGGACTTTCCTTGAAATGAAAGGCGTCGGGCATCCTGAGCTAGCCGACACCGAGTGGCTCCTCAAGTTTTACTATCTCGTAGATCTGACTGAACATCTGAACCAGCTCAACGTGAAAATGCAAGGCATTGGAAATACAGTGTTATCCCTTCAACAAGCTGTATTTGCTTTTGAAAACAAGCTGGAGCTTTTCATCACGGATCTTGAAACAGGTCGTTTACTACATTTTGAAAAACTGAGCCAATTTAAAGATGCATGCACAGCAAGTGAGCCCATTCAAAACCTTGATCTCCACCAGCTAGCTGGCTGCACATCCAGTCTCCTACAGTCCTTCAAAGCACGCTTTGGAGAATTTCGTGAGCACACTCGTCTTTTTAAGTTCATCACCCATCCAAACGAGTGTTCACTGAACACAGCCGACCTGAATTACATCCCTGGTGTCTCCGTCAGAGATTTTGAAGCAGAAGTGGCTGACCTGAAGGCCTCAGACATGTGGGTGAATAAGTTCAAGTCACTGAATGAAGATTTGGAAAGAATCACACGACAGAAAGCGGAGTTGGCGAGCAAGCACATGTGGACAGAAATGAAAAAACTCCAACCCGAAGACCAGCTGATTCTCAAAACTTGGAACGCGCTTCCTGTCACATACCACACACTGCAGCGTGTGAGTATTGCTGTATTGACCATGTTTGGATCTACGTATGCATGTGAGCAGTCATTCTCACATCTTAAAAACATCAAGTCCAACCTACGATCACGTTTAACGGATGAAAGCCTCAACGCTTGCATGAAGCTTAACCTCACCAAGTACCAACCCGACTACAAAGACATCAGCAAATCCATGCAGCACCAGAAGTCGCATTAATGGTGAGTGTTATAACAACATTATTTAAAAGAATAAATTCAGAGGCTTATTATACTGACATTTAGTTGAATTCACTTTTAAAATATATTATATGGCTCTCACTGAAATAAATTTCCAAATGTTTTGCTTTCATGGCTCTCTTAGTCAAAAAGGTTCCCGACCCCTGCACTACACCATACAGTACACCATGAACTACACTATACACTACACTATACACTATGCTATAAACTACACTACTATACACTACACTAGACACTACTATACACTTCACTACTATATACTACATTCCTATACACTACACTACTATACAATATTATACACGACACCACTATGCACTACTATACACTACACTATACACACACTAAACTATTATACACTATATGACACTACACTACACTAAACCATTAACGTGCATTTTATATACTCGCTTAACGACCAAATCACTTAACGACTGGTATCGTGGAACCAATTAACGTCGTTAAGAGGAGGGGTTCTACTACACGAGGGGCTGGGTTGATCGTCGTTCACCCTGGCCGGGCGGCAGGGGGGGGTGGTGGGCTCCTGAAGGGGGGCAGCTGCTGTGGCGTGGGCGAGTCGGTGGACTGGGACCGTTGTCGCGATGGGTCGTTGCTGGCGCTGCTGCTGCTGCTGCTGCCGTTGTAACGGGCGAGCCGGGGCCCGTTGCCGCTGGTGCGTGGAGCAGCTGCGTGCGGTGCTGCCGTGCGGGCGTGGCAGTGACAGAGACGGCAGCTGGGTGGAGGTGCTCAGAGCGCTGTTGAGGGCAACCAACCAAGTCCCGAGACTGCGGCTGCATGGATCCATTAAAGGGCGCCGTTGTGAGTGCGAGCCAAGGTTGAGGTTGATGCTGCGTTGAATCCTGGGAGTGCTGCACTACCGTTGGGTCCTGGGGGGGGGGGGGGATCCCCGAGGCTGCACGCGACTTCGAGAGTGAATGTTGCGCACCAAGTTGGTGGGCTTCTGCCGCGTTGCCTCGTCACCCGGGAGCGGAGCGTGCGTCAGGGTTGTGGTGCGAACGGTCGCCGCGGAGTTCTGCGATCGTCGACGCGCTGTGGGGTCGCCGTGTTAAGCCGGTGGACTTACGGGGTCATGCAAATGTGCGCTGTCACTGTTGCCGAGACTTTTGAAGAGTTGGTTGCACTTGGTTGTCAAGAAAGTATTATCCGCCACAGTATGTTCGCGTCCTTGAGCATCGTGTTTCAATATTGCATGACGAGTCTAGGCGTGGTTAAATCCAAATGGTCTTAACTTTTTCTATATTCTGGATAGAGTTATTGTCCTTCTTTCTTTCGCTGTCAAATCAACGTTGTAAAACTGCGCTGCTGCCCGATAACGAAAATTGAGGGAATTGCACGACAAAGAAAATGGATCCGAACTCCTCTATCTACCATATTAACAAAAAATGAGCAACCCTCATAATTTGCATGCCTGCGATAGTGATTCAAGGTATGCTCTGATGCCGGTCCCGCTGGGGCGCCTGCCCCCTGCTCACATGAGCAGGTAATGGTGCCGGGTTCAGCAAAGTGCCTAGCTCGGACTTTGAGCCACAGCCCCGTGACTGAGTTAAACATGAGCAACTCTCACCGGTGAGGTGAGTTGAGATAAGTTGAGGTGAGATGAAGTGAGTTGCGATGAGGTGATTTGAGGTGAGTTGAGGTGAGGTGACGTGAGTTGAGGTGAGGGGAGTTGAGTTACGATAAGGTGTGTGAGGATGAGGATTTGAGACGAGGCGATCCGAGTCTTATTAAGCCACCCCTGGATTGGAGACGTCTGTACTCGCTCACACGTCAACACATTCTGGGGCACGCCTCGTGACATGCAAATCAAACTGAAAGACTTCCTACTTGTCACCTATTAACGTGGCTTGTTCCTTGTTTAGCGTCTGAGACGCAGCCAGAGACTGCCTGAGATACAGAGACTGTCTGAGCTACAACCAGAAACTGCCAGCGATACAGATAGAGACTGCCTGAGATACAGACAGAGACTGTCTGAGCTACAGCGAGAGACTGCCTGAGCTACAGCCAGCTACTGCCTGAGATACAGCCAGTGACTGTGCTACAGCCAGATACACTCTGTGCTACAGCCAGTGACTATCTGAGCTATATCCAGAGACTGTGCTACAGCAAGAAAACTGCCTGAGCAACATCCAGACACTACCTGAGCTTCAGCCAGCGCCCGTCTGAGTGGAGCCACAGGACCATGGCGAGTGCGGCTCCCACTGGTTGCGAGGCTCCAGGGGAGTTAACCTGCCCCATCTGTCTGGACGAGTTCTGCTGCCCCTGTACGCTCAGCTGCGGCCACTCGTTCTGCCTCAAGTGCGTGGAGGGCGCCTGGGATGCGGCAGAGTCCTTCTCCTGCCCACAGTGCCGAGTGACTTTCCCTCGGAGGCCCAAGCTGAGCAAGAACTTCACGCTCGCCAACCTGGTGGAGCAGCGCAGTGCTACAGAGAAAATGGCCACCGTGGTTTTGTGTGACTTCTGTAACGATGGCACGACCGCTGCCTCGAAGACCTGCCTCAGTTGTGATATGTCCTACTGTGTGACTCATGTAAAGCCTCATCAGGAGAACCCGAAGTTCAGGGACCACATTCTGGTGGCTCTAGCCACGAATCCTGAAGACCACAAGTGCAAGACGCACAGAAAGAAGATCAAGTTTTACTGCCGACAGGACGAGAGCTTGGTCTGCACAACCTGCATCATCGTAGGAGACCACAAGGGTCACGATGTGGCTACGCTGGAGGACGAGCACAAGACACGGGAGGTGAGATGGTCTGCGTGTGTGAGCGGGAGCCCCTCCTGCGTGAAGTAATAATATCCCAGTATGAACTGAACAATAATTTCCAACTAAATTTATATCATTCCTTTCTCAGCTGCCCATTGTTTTTTTTTTAAATGTAGCAACGTTGGTTTAATATAAAGTATGCTGAGGTTATCATAGTGCAGAAATAATACAACCACATTTTCAATCCTGTTATATGACAAATATTTAATGTGCTCTTCGTATATTTTAATAAAACTGAAGGACTTTAATGCGTACAATGTGTTCTCAAAATGACGTGAGTGCATAGACCATGGTTCGAATACAAAAACAGTCGATGGTAGAGAGGAGCATTCACTAAAATGTAAACGCAATGTAAAACGACTGGGACTGCGTGAGCCGCAGTGCTCACCGCTTGCTAGCCTCGTGCCGTTCTGTCCCAGTTTAGCGCCGCACTCTACAGACGAAGTAATTCGTGACCTTACTTATATTTTCATCAAGATTCTCTCTACTAAATTTCTCCGACACTCAACAGTGACATAGCACTGTTGATTAAAACTAAACTAAAACTTTTTTTTATTATACTAAGTGAAGCTCACTGAGCTATGTAGCTCTTTTTCAGAGGCAAACCTGGCCACAAATGACAGCTCAAAGAAGTGGCTTATGAAGTCGAAATTCATAGAAGCCAAATACTCTAAACGCACGTTTTGAATGTAGAGGGAAAAAACAGGAGGACCCGGACAAAAATCCATGCGACCATGGGGAGAAAAAACTCCGAATATTCAGGTGTCAGGGTGGGATCGAAACCACGACCTCCTGTTTACCAGGCAACGTAGATTAACATCTCGCGGTGCCTTTTCCACTCACAACTCAGAGCCCTACTCACTACTCAGGTAGCCCCGCCCTCGACTCAGGTAGCAGTGGAGAGTGTTTGGGTCCACAGGCTAAGGCTCCTGCGCGTGCTATGTGAGCCCAGCTTTCTGTATGCTGAACTTCTTTCGCACCAAATGTAGCCAACCGTGCTTATCGGAGGTGCGGTTTCCTGCAGCGCTCGCTCCCCCAGCCTCCATCACTGCACAAGGGCTGCTGCAGCCTGGAGAAGGGACCGCCACTGTGGAGGGGTCCGTGTGCAGCGGGGGTGAGAGGGGCCGCTCAGAGAGTGAGTGGAGTCTCCCCTGGTGACGTCTCTCACAGAAACAAGTGGGAGAGGAGACGTGGGCAGTGGAGAAGAAGAGGAGGAAGGCGGAGGAGTCCAAAAAGCGGATGGAGGCCGCTCACAGGGACGTGCAGGTAACCGCGTCTGGGCCAGATCCTGTGACCCCGTGACTCCACCCTGAGTCGAGTTTGTGATGGAGGACAACTCCATTCATTCACGTGGACTTCCATTGGCTTTGAACACATCGTGGGACTAAAGACACAACGGTCAATGCCCATTAATACCCAGGACAAGCAAAGAAGTGGTTCTCATCTCCAATGAGGAACTGAATCAGTGGTGGAAATTCCACATTCTTAGGATGGGGGACCAATATCCCCATGTGAACTGCCACTTCATCTTGTTATATATCTGTCTATTCTAGCCAGATGAGGTGGCACATACATCCTCTTTGGTTTTATTCGGTAAAGTCACGTAGGTAAAAAATAAAACATTCCTTTTGAGGGCCAGGTGTACATGTTTTAATTCACTGGTCAGGTGGTGTTGGTCCGAAATGCAATGAGCCCTATGGTATAAAGTTTTGATGAGAGAATTATTTTGGGCTGGGTGGTGGTGGGAATCAGGTTTCAAGTAGGAATCTGTGTGGGTGGGTTTCCTGTAGACAGAATGCCCCAATGAGCAAGGAGACCTGATAGCTCATTGGGGCATTCTGTCTACAGGAAACCCACCCACACAGATTACCTTCTTGAAATCTGATTCCCACCACCACCACGCCCAAATGAATTCTCTCATCAAAAACTTTATACCATAGGGCTCATTGCATTTCGGACCAACACCACCTGACCAGAGAATTAAAACATGTACACCTGGCCCTCAAAAGGAATGGATACTCTGACCGTACCATCCGCCAAGCTGTTTCTCCCTCCATACAGAAACAACCACTTGATACTCCGGTCAAAACCATCACACTACCATATATAGCAGGCGTTACTAAAAAGATTTCCAAAATTCTAAACAAACACAAGATACAGGTCCGGTTCAATACAGTACACAAAATTTGTGATCTGATCCCATCCGTGAAGGATGTCATTCCTGACTTACAGTACCCCGGGTTTTACAAATTGTGTTGTACCTGCGGTGATTGCTATATCGGGGAGACAAAGCGATATGTCTCTGACCGAATTCGCGAGCACAAATCAGATTTGAAACACGGCAAAACGAATTCTTCTGCCGTGGCTGATCACTGTTACAACGCTGTGGGTGATCACGATATAATTTTCTCCGATACCAAGGTTCTTTGCAAACCCACGGGTTTTTATCAGAGATTTGTTCACGAGGCAATTCAGATCTACAAACACAGACACAATTTCAACCGAGAAGATGCAACCATTGGAAAGATGTCCTAAATCGAACTAAACATTAAACTAATTTCAATGGTACAGTATATTTTTCAAGTAGTGGTACCCCAAACTTTCGCAGCTCTTATAAATTCCCTTTTCACACCATCAATAGGTAAACTCCCCCTCCCCCACCCCCGCGACAAACGGCAAGTCCACCGGCACGTACACTACCTCTTTTCTAAAGTTAGCCAATCAAATGCTAATTTTTATGCTAATTCCTTTGTCAAGGCACCTTGTTTGCTCACACACAGCTTAAAGGTCTGCGGTCTGAGCGTGGTTGTGTTTCACTCCAGCGCTGTCCTCGAGACAGCCTGATCCCTTCACCTGATGAAGGCCGCTTGTGTTGTGGCTGAAACATCGTGATTTTTGTTATTTTATTTTTTACCTACGTGACTTTACCGAATAGAACCAAAGAGTATGGATCCTTGCAGTCACGAAAGCTTTAAATCTAGAAGTGGCACATACCTGTTATCCAGTACATTGGTGGCAGGGTTCACATTATATAAATATGTTTACAAAACTATCACATTGTGCTATTAACTCAAGTCACCTGACATCAACTCCCAGCGATGACAAACATCAGTAGCGAGTAATATCTGTAAAACCACAAAGCAATACACTGAATGCACGCAGTGTGCGTCATATAATGTGCATATTCACATAACCTATTCACGTAGTACACTCCCATTCCGTATATTGCAATTTGCAATGTGAGCATTAAAGTTCATTTGAATTTAAAAATAGTATCCGACAAAGCACAGAGACACTTCGAGGTAAGGTCACCAAGTTGCATGTCCAGTTCTCATCGGTGCACCGATCTCATCACTGCCCAGTCACGAAACCCAGCTCTCGTGTCCAGTTCCAGATGGGCTTGTTTTGTGGATGGAATACAGCTTGGAAGCGTTGCTGATCAGGCACCTTCAATGATGACCTTTTGATTTGTCACTCTGCTCGCATTACACACACCTTGTGCAACTCTACGAATAGATGGCGTTCATATTTAATTATAATTGAAATTGCTTCTTTTTCTCAGATTTGTGATTTACTATTTGGGATTGAGTCCTGTGTAGTTTTCAGGGTTATGATAGGTGACAATTGTATTGTTTATTGGCTACCGAGGCCGTGATGCACAGGAGGGGTTCATCCTCCATCAGGTCACCTGGGTTACAGGTCAAAACGTCTCCCATAGTGTGGGTTGCATGGCCACAGTGGCAATACTGTGGATTGACGTTAATGCATCTCTATGGGTCTCGATGGGTCTCTATGTATCTCTGAGTGTCTCCATGTGTTTAGAATATGGTCCATAGTTTGGGTTATATGACCACAGTCACACTGTCCTAGATTGACTCAAATGGATCTCAATGCGTCTCTATTTGTCTCCATGTCTCTGTGTTTCTCTGGGTCTCTATATCTGAGTCTCTATGTATCTCTATGGATCGCGAGGTATATCTATGGGTCTCTACAAGTTTACTTTATTGCCCATAGTTTGTGTTGTATGGCCACAGTAACTTATACATTTATGATTGAGGAAAGAGAGGTGTAAACTCCATCTCCATAAGACATAGATCAACCGTTGCGAGATTAACTCCTCCGTTAATTATTTAATCAAAACAAATCACACGCCCTGGCAGGAATCGATGACCGAGGTGAGGCAGCGAATCAATGGCGAGTTCGCCCGCATGAGAGCAGCTCTGGACGAGGACGACAAGGCGGCTCTGGCTCGTGCGTCCAAGAAGGAGCGCGAGTTGCTGACCCAGATCGAGAAGAACATCGCTCACTACCAGCGCGAGATCGGCGATCTCCAGGCAGCAGCCACTCGTCTGGAGGGCCTAGCGCAGGAGAGGAACTCGCTCGCGTTCCTGCAGGTGAGCGATGAGTCTCCGGTGTCGCTATTGGCACAGAGCCCTCGGCAGCGTCAGAGTTGAGGCTCCTGAATGAGGTTTTCACATCGACTGCGCTTTGTCACGCACGGCCTTCTGCCCGGTCCTTGCGTGCAGTCGTTCCCAATCACGACGATGTTTGCAATGCAAGTCAGTGTTGGTGCTCATGAGGTCGTAAGCCAAGACTTTGTGGTTTATATTATACCCGCAGTGTTGCAGTGGGAAATCCACTGATCCCATGGGAATGGAGGCAGTCACAGTAACGCATCTCTCTCTCTCTCTCTCCCACAGGGGCACCTGGAGGAGGCGCGCAGGTACAGACGACGATCACTCACGACTCGACACAGGACAACATGGGACTTTGTGCGAGGCGCAGGCAGTGGGACACTGGCTGTTTGTGGGGATGCTGTGTGTGTGTGATGATGCTGTCTGTGGTGAAGCTGTAAGTGGTGGTACTGATTATAATGATGCTATGTGGTGATGATGTGAAATGTGAGTGTTCATGCTTTGTGTGATGAGTTTGTAAGTGATGGAGCTGTGATGATCCTGTGTAACACAATTTTTGTCCCTGAGTAGTAAGTGTTATTTAGTAATTGCTAATGCCTAAAAAGTGTAGAAAAAGGCTTTTATTCCCCACAAACTTTGCTTTTGTGACCAGGGCAGTGATATTTAGAAATTGGCATATTTTCAAAGAGAAAACGGGCATATTTGTGTCTTTTCGTTCACATAAATTCAGAAAAAAAAACATATGAATCAAAATTTACACATATTTATCCTAAAGTAATAAAAAAATACTACAAAAGATTTAGAAGTGAGCATTTTTTCGAGATTTACGATTATACTGTAAATCACTTTGACGAATCACCCCCCAAATGTAGTCTCCCATCATGTTCTCGTTATACTGTCCTTGGTAGCGGCGTTCAAAGTCAAGTATATCCTGGTGGAAGCGCTCGCCTTGCTACTCCGAGTATGCTCCCATGTTCTTCTTGAATTTATTAAGATGAGCATAAAGGTTATGGACTTTGAGGGACATCCTATAGCCCATTGTGCCGTAGTTCTTCACCAGTCTCAACCAGCTCCACGTAGTTTTCGATCTTGTGATTGCCCCAGAAGCCCCGAACCACTGAGACAAAGCTGTTCCAAGCCGCTTTCACCTTACTAGTGAGCTTCTTTGGGAATTAATTGCACTGTAGGATCTTCTTTATCTGTGGTCTGATGAAGACACCGGCTTTGACCTTTGCCTCAGACAGCTTATGGAAGAATTCTTGAAGGTACTTGAAGGCTGCCGACTCCTTATCTACAGCTCTGACAAATTGTTTCATAAGGCCCAATTTGATGTGCAGTGGTGACATCAGCATCTTCCGGGGTCTATCAGTGGCTCCCACTTGACGTTGTTCCTCCCCACAGAAATCTCGGTCCGTTGTGGCCAGTCCCGCCTGTGGTAGTGCGCCTTGGTGTCCCTGCTGTCCCAAAGGCAAAGATAGCAGGAAAACTTGGTTAAACCGCCTTGGAGACCCATCAGGAATACGACCATTTTAAAGTCTCCGATAAACTTCCAGCCGTACTCATCATACTTAAAGGTGTCGAGCAAGGTATTGATGCTGTTGTAATCCTCTTTGAGGTGCACCGAATGAGCCAGGGGAAGAGACGGGTACTTGTTCCCATTATGGAGCAGCACGGCTTTGAGGCTCCTGGATGAGATGTCAATGAAGCGGCGCCACTCATTCTGGTTACAGACGATTCCGATTGCCTCGAACAGACTAGTCACATTGTGGCAGAAGCAGAGCCCATCATGACGGGTGAAGAAGCTGCAAATAGGTTGGTGACACTTCCTCTGAACTGTGACTTGCACACTTTCATCCAAGCAGTTCCACTGCTTGAGCCTAGACGTCAAAAGCTCGGCATTGGACCTGGTGAGACCAAGATCTCTTATCAAGTCGTTGAGGTCTTTTTAGTTGGAGTCGTATGGGTTTCTCTCCTCAGCTCCACCTTTGAAATTGTCATCTGGTTCTACAACGTCTTCCTCGCTCTCTGACTTGCTACTCTCTTCAAAAGACGGCTGCTCTTTTTACAGGGGAGTAGGTACAGGGAGCTCATGGCAGTGTGGCACCGGGGCGATGGATGAAGGAAGGTTCGGATACGTGATAGCAGGTACATTCTTGCAAGTCCGACGTTTGCAAGGACCCACCATGCAGAAGTAACAGTTGCTTGAGTGGTCAGTGGGTTCCCGCCAAAATACATTTATTTCACCCATGACTAATGTGTAAGAGATTCTCGCAATATTTTTTAAAAAAAAAATTTTCAATAACATTGAAAATTGTAAAAATAATAATAAACTTTAACAATAAAAAAAATCTTAACAAATTTTATTACATTAATTTCCGAGCAACAATTGTCCATCTTTCCTTCCAGAGACTTTTTTGCATTGTTCGCAGGTGAAATGAGGTGCCCAGGGTTTGTCTTGATCCCCGACAGGCATGCTAAAATATGCCTTGCAGGCCTCACACATCTTAGCAGATGCTTCCACAGAGTACTTTTTCGTTCTTGTCTTGATAAATTGGCCACAGACATAGAAAAATGCGTCTACCGGATGCTTGCAGCCTCTTGATGTCATCTCAGAAAAATGCAGATATGTATCTACTTAGGTAGCTGGAACTAAACTGAACTGGTGGGCATAAGGCCCCTGTATTTATACTACTATTTATATTACTGTAAAGTTCCAGAATGTTCTAAAAGTTACTCCAAGTTTACCCTGCATTGAATCTACCTGGAATGTTTTGGAAAATAGGTCAATTTCAAAATAACAATATCCTGGTCACAAAAGCAAACTTTGTGGGAATAGCCATTTTCTGTACTTTTGAGGCATAAGCAATTAAGAAATAACACTTACTACCCAGGGACAAAAACAAATACAAATGTGTTGCACAGTTTAATCTTTGTGAGAAAGTGGCCGTATCTGCTCTGTTTTCACAGGACAGGGAGGGTTAGAACGGCTCAACCCTCAGCTCCCAGCCAAGAGGAGATTGCCTCACTTAAAGTCCTGGAGACAACTACTGTCAAGTTCATGTGTGAGTTATTCAGTGTGAATCATGAGTGATGAGGCCATCTTGACAACAGATGAACCCCGTGTGTGCACGAGATCGACTCACCCTCAAATAATTACCTGGAGTTTAACAAACATCACCATTAGGGAGACAAAGGCGGCCAGGGATAGTGCTGGCCACCCACCCCCTCATGTGTCGTGCCAGCCTTCAACGGTGCTGATTTGCCCCAACAGTCTGTAAAGGCTACACGGGGGGTATTTTTTTGTTTACATCCTGGAACCTGATGCGTTGGGTAAACAGAATCGTCACTAGGGAGACAAAGGTGGCCGGGCATGGTGCTGGCCACCCACCTTGTGTGCCATGCCAGCCTTCATAGACTCTCATGGACAGCACTTGTCCCAATAGTCTGCGAAGGATACCCAGGAGATCTCTGTCTTTGTTCACATCCCATTCCAGGACCCTACTGAGGATGGTGGTAATGATGCTGATGTTTGTGATAATGTGAGTGATGGTTATGGTGATGGCATTGATGATGGTGTTTGTCGTGGTGATGGCAGTTACGGTCGTGGTGATGGTAATGATGGTGACATTGGTGATAATATAGGTGGTGATGGTTGTGATGGTTTTGCTGATGGCGCTCATGGTAGTAGTGATGATGATATTGGTTACAGTGATAATTGTAGTGATGGTGGTGATCATGGTTTTGATGGTCGTTGTGATAGTTATGATGCTGATCGTGTTGGTGATGTTGGTGATAGTGATGAAGATATTAGAGATGGTGGTGATGGGGATAGTCATGTTGTTGATGTTCATAGTGTTGATGATGGTGGTGATGGTGATATTTATGTTGTTGTCATCGATGATAATGATGGCAAGAATGGTTGGTGATGATGTTTGTGATGTTATTGTCGATGGTGAAATGATGACTGGTGATGGTAATGTTGATGATGGTGGATAATGGTGATGATGTTGTTCTGTAGTGATGTTGCGATCGCTGTTGTCACAGACGGATGCTCACCAACTCTGGACACAACCACTGCTCATAACCAACTCCAGATCTCCTCGGATCTCAGGACGATGACAGCAGTCCTTCCCTCCCAGGGTCGCCCCGATCACCCACACCGGTTTGATTACTGGTCACAAGCCCTGTGCTGTGAGAGCTTCTCGTCGGGCCACCACTACTGGGAGGTTGATGTGGGGGACGCGCGGTGGTGTCGGGTTGGAGTTTCGTACGGGACGATCCCATGGAAAGGGCGTGGTGCTGCACGGCTGCTGGGAGGGAACGATGCGTCCTGGTGTTTAGAGAAATGTGACAACTTCTCAGTGTTTCATGGTGGAGTGAAGACTGCACTGTCGGTGAGGGGGGCCCCCTCCTCACGCAGAATCGGGCTTCACCTGCACTGGGAGGGGGGGCTCCTGGCGTTTTACCGCGCCGACTCCATGGAGGTGATCCACGAGGTTCGGCAGAGATTCTCGCAGCCTCTCTACCCTGGGATGTGGGTGTTGTATTGTAATGATCGATTGAAGATCGTGGATCTGAGTCGTGCATTCTGAGGATGAGAGATAGAAACTCAAGAAACCAAGACAGAAACCCAATAAACGGAGGTGAGGGTGGATATTGAGGAAATGGTGAAGTGAGGGTGATGGGTAGTTGGAACAGAGGCTGAGGTAAGCTGAGAGTGAGGGCAGAATGGAGGGGAAGGTTACGGGTGAACGTGGAGGGTGAGGAGAGGGTGAGGAGAGGGTGAGGTGTTGGGAGGGTGAGGTGAAAATTGAGGAAGTTGTGAGGTGAGGTGAGCGTGGAGGGGTAGGGTGAGGGGGGAGGGTGAGGTTCAGGTTGGCCTGCGTGAACGATGTCGCCGGTGCTGTACAATTCGCAGGTTCGTGTGGCCGCTCCTTCACCTGCAGTGCGCGCTCGCGTGTACCACGCCTCCTCATCCCTGCGATTCACCATCATCACCATCATGACCATCACCAACATCATTACCCCATCATCATCACTGTCACCATCACTCCATCATCATCATCACCACTGTCATTATCACCACCATCAACACCACCACTATCATAATCACCATAGTCATCACTACCACCATCATCGCCATCATCATGATTACCAACAGCACCACCAACATCATCATCACCATCATGATCACCATCACCAACATCATCGTAACTATTATCACCACGATCACCACCATCATTACCATCATCATCACTATCAACGCCACAATAATCATCACCATTGTCACGTCCATCTCCATCATCATAATCATTACTTAACATCACCACTATCATCAACATCATTATGACCATCATCACCAGAACCATCATCAACACCATCAACATCATCACCACCGTCAAAACTACCATCAGAATCATCACCACCACCATCAAGCTCATCACCATCAATATCACGACAAACACCACTACTATCATCACTACCATCATCATTATCACCACCATGGTCACCACCATCATTATCATCATCACTATCAGCACCCACATCACCATTCATACCATCACCGTCACAATCATCACCATTATCACCATCATGAACATCAAACACCACAAAAAACTGCCATACTCATCACCATTATCACATCCACCTTCACGACCATCATCACAACCATCATCATCACTATCCTCACCGTGAAAACCACCATCACCATCATTCCCACCATTACCCTCACTACGACCATTAGCACCATCGCCCTCATCACCATCATTACCACCACCACTGTCATCATCACCACCACCATGATCACCACCATCATCAGCAGCAGCATCATCACCGCCTACATCACCACCACGATTATCACCATCACCATTCTTAATATAATCATCACAACCATCACCACCATCATCACCATCACTACCATCATTATTACCAGGATCAACAACACCACCATCATCACCACCATTACCAACACTACCACCATCACCATGGTAACGTCTTTGTAGTTCGGGCTGTTATATTTGTTGATTGTGTTTAACCTGGGCGAGAACTCAAGACACCAGTATAGGAGTCTCATTTGTAAGAGTGAGTGGAATGGGGAGTGAGTGCTTAGGTGAGTGAGCAAGTAGATAAGTGATGGTGGGTGATTGAATGATTGAGTGAGTGCATGGTTGATTGGGTGAGATGGTGGGTGATTGAGTGGGTGAGTAGACGGGGGAGATGCTTGGTGGATGAGTGAGTGCATGGGTGAGTGGATCGATGGAGTGTTTGAGTTCGTGAGAGGGTAAGAGGGTAAGTGAGTGGGTCAATTATTGAGTGCGTGAGTGAGTAGATGAGTGAGTGAACTATTGAGTGCATGGGTGAGTGATATGGTGGGTGAGTGATTGGCTGAGTGGGTCAGTGGTTAAGTTAGTGAGCGAGAGGGTAGGTGAGTTTGTAAATGATTGAGTGAGTGAGTTCAAGTGTATCGTCTGTAACCGGGAGTAGAACTCGAGAGTCCAGAGCAGGAGTCTCATTTGCGAGAGTTACCTGGGGCTGGGGGGAATCTCCAAAATAACAAAAACGACAACGTGAGCACAGGGAACAATAACGAAGTGAAGATAAATTAGAGGAAAAAACCAACAACAACAACCACCACCGTGTTACAGACGGAACCGGAAACAAAACAGCGCCCCGAACAAACTCCCAATACTGCAAGGGTGGAGACAGCGTCTGTACACCCAACTCACAGTCGTGTCCACGTGTTGGGTGGCCATCTCGTCTAGACAGGGTCACCCGTCGCGGCGTCCAACACGACGTAACAACAACTCCCACAGACAACCCCGACAGCCCACACCTCCCGGTCCCCCCCCCCCCTCCCCACGGTTCCTGGGTTTGTCATCACGGAAGCGGACCGGTAGCTGCTACAAGCTGCACAGAGCGAAATGTATTCAGAACGGCTAACCCGCAGGATAATCCGGGCAGCTGCATTCTGCACTAACTGGAGCCTTTGCACCAGTCCAAGTGGAAGCTCTGCATAGATAATCCAGGCGTGTTGAGATAAAGGCATGAACTAATGATTACAGGTCTGGGGTAGAGAGGAGCGAGCCCAACCCTCGGAGTGTTTGTAAGTGGTAGAGATCTGCTCTGAACGTAGCTATGAGCTGCGAGCGCACGGTCAAGCTCTGATCGAACAGCACACCGAGGTTGCGTACTTTGGACACACAGAGAGGGCGAGCTCTCCTAATCAGTGGATGATCGATGTTGCCCTGACATGCTCGCAGACGTTGCTCTTAGCTAACTATCATGTACTCTGTCGTGCCCAGGTTTAGCTGCAGCCAATTTTGCTCTGTTCAAACAGCGACTTCAGACAAGCATTCTCAAGTAACAGAGATAATGGCATCTGGATCTGACGGACATTGAAAACTAATTTATTAAGAATTGATTTTTGTGTTTGGTTTGTTCTCACCCCGCACCTCCTATTAGCACGGCTGGATATGTAGGTGCGAAAGAAGTTCATCATACATACATATAATCTGAATCAGCATCTTTAATTATACTGGAGGAATCCAATGAGTTATGAAGCTCTTTTTCAAAGATGTCCAGTAGGGGAGGGTCATAAAGTTACAATAACAAACAGTCCAGACAACCAATCGGAGTGTAAAATATAGGAAAGGTGTGCAAATCACTGAAACTAGATCAATAATTAAACAAAGTATATAACTACAAATTGCAATTGTATATTACTTCCGACCGATTTTTCAACACAATGCAAGCGTGGGCAAGGCAGTAACACAACAGTCCCAGATCACACCAAGACAACACGGCAGTCCTTGGACACAACTGCACGTGAATATTTCTACCTACGTGACTTTACCGAAATAACCAAAGTGTATGGATTCCTGCAGTCACGCAAGCTTCAAATCAATATTAAACTATCGATACATGGGTATGGATCAACGTTCCAATCACATTTGCAAATTAGGCTGTGTACAGCATTAATCTTCTGCTTCAGTACATTTATTGAAGGAAGATTTATGATGTTAAGGGAGGAAACAAGGTTGCTTCAAAACGTTGATGCTGCAACGGCAAAGGCTTTGTCACCCATTCCAATTCTCATTGTTGGGATAGTTCACAGGCAATTAGATGGACGTCTTAGGTTTCTTTGGATTGACAGTGGGGTTTATGATTTAGCTAAAGCACAGATTTGCCAATAAGGGTTTTATGGATTAACAGGGCCAAATGTAGATTACATTAGTGGGTGCTCTATGGTACATCCAATACAAATCGAAGATCAGAATAATGAATGGGGTTTAGTATGTTAAGTGTTAGATTAGTATCTGATTTATATGCAGCATCACAGAAGCCACCGCACCTTGTGGAACGCCATTTGTTATTTTAAAATTTGTGGATGAGATGTTAACAGGATGTATCTTTTTGATAATGGTCTGAGATGTATCTCTGAAACCGTTTTATCGTATTGTCGGGCAATTCTAGTTGAGTGAGTGTGAGTGAAATATCATGGTCAAGAGTTTCAAAAGGCTTTTAACGATGCAAGGAATAGTCCATAATAGCTGTGGTGGCGCAGTAATCCTCATGGAAACCAGACTGTTTACTGTGCGGGAGATTGTGAGTTTTAGGTATCCGTCTATTCGTGATTAAAGTAAAAAAAATGTTGAGTAACTGTTCAAAGAATATAGATTGGTCTAAAATTATTCTTACAATGTCTGCCCTAACAAAACTGCCCACACCCAGTGAAGCAGTAGCTGTGCAGGGTGCAATAGTCACATTCTAAAGGCGTTCGTAAACCTTATCGCATGCAGTTCCGTATTCTTAGTCTCGCAAACAGCCTATTATCTCTGAAGTATAATAAAGCATTTCCCCACTTTTCAAAGATTGCACGTTATTGGTGCCGAATAACCTATTTTTTGCATAAAAAATGCAACTGGCTGTTTCTAAAAACGTTCACGTAACATCCGACTTTTTCACATATCCACCAATGATTCAAGTCCCTAGTGAGTCAGACACGTGACGGTATACCATAAACATTTCAATAAAAATCCTCATTCTGTACCAACTTTGCGTTGCCATTCCAATCCTTAAGCGGAGAAGTAATTCCTCAAATCCTTACCCATACCACATGACCGTTCTATTTCTAGATCTTGAGGCGTGGTCAAATAACCCCCACAACCCGCACAGCGTGCAGCGGCCCTCATCCCGCAGTGGATTAACAAAAGGGCTGTACACGGACAGCGTATTGCATTGTAGTTAGGATATGGGATCAATAATTCAAGTACGTATGTTGAACTTGTTTCGCACCGTACATAGACAACTGTCCAAATCGGTACGAACTGTGTTCTGTGAAAAAAACACACAACTTGACATAAGTTAAGTTGCGTCGACACCCGAGCAATCATTTGCGTGCAACTTGGCAACTTGAATGTATGCAACTAAATCACTTCTACATGGACGTCTCTGCAACAGGTTGCTCACAGTGTAACGAGACTACTTTCAAGCATCGATCTCCTTAGCGAATCATTACAACGTATCGCATCATCGTGCGCTGCACAGAACTGAATTGTGATAAACAGTTACAATCCAGATGCTGGTGAGGAGTCGTGGTAACCAGAACAGGAGGCAGACATTTTAGTTACTGAGACTTCTTTTGTTGTGCAACTACTTGCACAGATTTTGCCAAAGCAGCTGCAGGTGACTAATTCTCACGATTTCGAGTGATTTGGTTGCGCAACTCATCAAGAAAATGTGAGACAATCAGTTTTGACGTTATCCGAATTCAATCATTCAA